CCAAGATTTATCCCAATACATTCCATCATCTGATTTAAGTCTTTATTGAGCGTTTCCTAGACAAATCTCGTCATATCAAAGTACAACTCTTAGGGGATAGCGCTGGAAATGTGATCCATCTTTTCAAACGTGATTGCTCGGTTCAACCTCGTCACCAAAAGGTTGTCGAGCTTGCTCCTGCTTTGGACTTGACCGACAAAGTGCGCTCAAAGATCTTGGAGGATGCAAAGAAGTTAGCATCAGCTGTGAATTACCGTAACGCAGTGACTGCCAAGTTCCTTGTCGATCAGGTGGGCAATACACTAACCTCATGTTTCAAAGCCAACAACTTGGTCTTGGTACACAATGGGCTGCGGTGAAGAAAGCTTATGTACGTGGTTTCCTGCTCAATCACGCAATTGCTTTGCTGACTTGGCTATCTCACTTCCGGTTGCTCATAGATTGAAGCCAATCAACTATGTGGTGATATTGTAGAGGTAACCCCTTAATCAAAAGTTGTGGGAGACTTTGCTCAGTTCTTGGTGTCCAACAAGCTCTCTAAGGCTGATGTCGAAGCCCGAGCCAATAAACTTGACTTCCCTAACTCAGTGGTTGAATTTTCCAACGCTATCTCGGTCAACCTATGGGTGGATTCCCAGAGCTGCTATGTAGTCAAATCATTCGTGATAAACCTAGAATTGAGGGTCGTCCGGGTATCAGTATGGCACCACATGATTCTGATAAGACCAGGAAGGATCTTCAGGAGAAATTTGGAAAGAGTATCACCTTAACGGTTCGTTGTCTTTTTCAGACTTGATAATGAATCACAATTCCTGCAAATGCCAATTGACTTTTTGACGCCTTTTATAGGACGTTCTCTCTTATTGCATGTACCCCAAAGTGTATGAAGCACAGCTACTGCTTCATACTGTTCTGAACTTCAATACCTTGCTTCACCTGTGACTACTCATGTTCAAAGTGCCAAAACTCATAATCAATCCGTGAATTCACTGAAGAAGAACAAAATGGAGATAGCAAGATGATAATGGATTTGGAAATGGGCTTCATGATCCGTCTGTAGATGAAGACACTGGTTCACCTCAAGTTTAAGATGATTTTCTGTTTTTTTTTTTCAATTTTCTTGTTTTTTTGTTTTTTTCTCAATTTATTTGTTAGGCTTTGTTCTAAGTGTAATTACTATTTCCTTTCTCATTTGTATTCTTTCCAGTCTTCCTGTAATATACTATATGTAGCAAGAATGCTATAGATGTGAGATGCCTGAGCCACAACAATAAATTTGTGTCTAATGAAACATGACTGGAATAAGGTGAACCTGAACAGATGAGATGGCTCACCTGTTCATTAGATGATGGCTCACCTGTTCATTAGATGATGGCTCACCTGGTCATCAGGTGATGGGACACCTGGTCATGGTGTGATTCATCTCACCCAATGAACAGGTGTCCCATCAGGTGAGATGACTCACACCATGACCAGGTGAGGCTTCTCACCTAATGACCAGGTGAGCCATCACCTTGTGATCACATGGCCATGTTGGGTGATGGTCACACTGGCTTTCATGTGTAGCCGGTAGATGTGGCATAGTGTGAAGAGCCTAGGATTTATTGGCAGAGGCCAATTTCACCTGATCTTCATGTGCCGGCCGCCCCGTGGTGTACCTCTGTACAATGGACCAGGTGTGGATCTTTGTTGTTATTATCATTCTCATGAGCTAGATTAGAGTTGACTGAATGTTCCGTTGAAACACACTGGCTTTGGGTGACAACTTCAATATCTTGGCTCTCACCAAGGAAACTGTGGGCAGAAGCAAGCCTTGTATTACCATGTCCTGACTCAAAAACACACTCCATCTCAAAGTAATACTTGCACTTCTTCAAGATAGGTGCTATATGAAAGACATCGAACTCATCTATCCAAAATCAGGACCTCATCATCATTGTGAAATTGAATACTTACCAAGAGCTGTCTTCTCTACACAGAGCCATTCCGGTTCACCATCTCCCCAACCCTTACTTGCCTTCTTTTCACATGTGGTTTGCCAGGCTTCAGATCCAGTGTGGATATGTATATTGTTAGCATCACACCAAGAGGACTCTAAGCATAAAATCCTCAAGTGAGAGTAAAGGTAAATGTATTGAGAAGATATTTGGAGTCATGAAAAATCAAATATGAAGTATGAACATACCTTCCTTTGAATAGCACTCACATCTCACCATAAGGTGTCATTCTTGATCATGTACTGCTCAATCTCTTCTGCTGATCCTCTCTTTTCTGTTTTATTTGTTTTGAATCTAGTCAATTTTGCTTTGTCTGTGTGCCATTTGAGAAGTAAGTGTGTCAAAGATTTTCCTTGAGGGAACCGACGAGGCACGAGTTGGTTACTAAGCCCATGGGGACTTAGCGGGGCTAGAGAGATGAGGACCGAGTCCCGAGAGCGGAATTACGAGAGATAGGATCTACCGCTCTCAGAGAGATAAGTTGAGAACTTAAACAAACAAACCTCAATCTCTCAGCTTCCCAAAACATCATTCTTAGTCAAAGAATTAGAACTTTGGAGTTTATACATTATTTAGACCATCCCACCCACCCTACATAGAATAGAACACCCTCCCACCGACCCAATGGTGTGAAACCTACCTTTCAGCCCTTGGTTCTACAGAACCAAAAGAGGGCCGGGAGGTAGGGCTCCGCCACTACCCCCAAACTAAGATCCTCTGACTAATAGGCGAAGTAAGAGGATCTTGAGTGGTGTTCTCCTAGAAGTTAATCTCAAGCAAGAGATTAACAGAACTAAGAAATTCAACAGTGTTAACATCTCAATCAGCTAACTGAGGAATGGGCTCCTCAATATTATCATGAGCCCATTGAATAGTAGTGTTTTGCAATTTGTTTTCTTCAGACAACTCATTATCATGTACAGTCCCCTCCAAGTGGTTTATGTAACCATTCAAGTTCTGCAGTGGCGGGGGCGGGGCCGGGGCCGGGGCCTGTCGCAAACCCAATGATCACAAATCCTAGGCGCGGGACGTGTTCAGTCTTGTTGGTCTTCTCAAGGGATCTGTTTGGTATGGTGGCCATGGACGGCCAAATCGGACAAAACATCAAATATGCAAAAATGTTGATGAAACACCCTTTGAAAGCCCCATGGAGCATGTCCCAAGCTCAAGTCCGCTGTGCCGGACAGCACTCTGCCTGTGTTTGCACCCTAGTCCCCAAGAACTATGCTCAGCATACTATTACGGCTTCTGAGATCTACAATCTATATGTATCACATCCTTTCTTCAGATCCTGATCAGCCCATAGCCAAGATGAATGGCAATTTTAGATCATTGTAGATATTTACATACTATCATATCCCATCCCAATAAACAAAGATCAATCTTTAAGCAATTTACATTAGAAGTCCTGAGTTGAGACAAATCAATTGTTTGTCAACAAAAATCATTGCCTCAAATCACAATGTTGTATTTACTGGACAACTGATAAATGGTGATGTCTTTGGAAGACACTATCACATATTCTGGAACATCACAGCTCTTCAAATCCAACGTGTGTAGGTCATGAGCAAAACAACTCCAATTCTTATGAAAGCAAATTATTGTGAGAAGAAAGACAAACAAAGAAACAATATCGAGCAAGCAAGACCAAGGCCCAAGTCGTGTGATCCTTATGATTGGGCCAACGGACTTGAGCTTGGGATATGCTCAACATGGCTTTCAAGGGGGGTGTTTCAGGGTGTTTCATCAAGATTTTTGCATATTTCAGAAGGGGTTTGTCACGGTGCAGCAAGGCACAGGTTGTCTACGGAAAACGGGCCTGGGCCCTGAATGTGATTTCCCCAAAAAACACACAACAAATAAGCCTAGAGAGAATAGGAAGAAAGACAACACATGAGGGCGGATTATTACTATTTCTACATTTTGTTGTTGAGGGTGCAGGAGGATGGGCTATAAAAAATTGTTTGATAAAGAAGGTTTGAAAACTAGTGTTGTGAATGAACTACAGTATGGAATTGTATAGAAGAAGGTAGAAGGTGTAACTTTGACTAGACTGTATTCAGAGGAATATGAAGGAACTGATAGGAGGAAACAATTTTTTGTAACTTTTCTGGGACAAACGGAGTGAACTAAACAACAATATGAGGAAACATTTTCCAAACCCCCATCCAAGCTGTGGTTCAAATCATAACGGACTTCTTTTGTGAGTGGCAGCACGACTCTGTTTTCCCAACATGAAGCCAAATGCACCTCTTGCTGGATTGGCTCCTGACTTCACCCATTCTCCTTAGCCAACTCCTTGAGCCAACTTCCAAATGTTTCGTCCAATTTGGCTGTCCACAGCCACCGTAGTTTGGCCAGATTGCAACTTGTATCCAGCATTCAAAATTTCTGGCCACAAGCCTGGGCAGGCACATGGCCGGATTTCAACTTTGTATGTATGTATCCCCTACATCTTCACATCTCTCAATCATCCAAATCATTCAAAGAGCGCATTAGTGGCTCTGTTGACCCAGTTACAGAAAACCCAGTTGACCCAGTTGACTCTTTGGCTGGGAGCTGTCAACAAATGTCAAGTTGATACACAAAGTTACCACCAAAAAGCAACTGGGTGAACTGGTTTTTAACCAGGTCTACTTTGAGAGCCACTATTGCTTCTATACATCCACTCAAAAAAACACAACAGTGTTGGTTTGAACAATACAATTGGACTTGTGTGTAACTCTAAAAAGTTGATCTCATTAGCACATAAAGCCCAAAGTGTACTAATTCTAAATTCAATCAGTATCAAAATTTCAAAAAAAAATAAAAAAGAATACAATCAAGTGGAAAAGGAGAAGAGTCACAAAACCATGCATCAAAGATGAAATCCTATGAAAGCCTTATTTTTTTCAATCTCTACAAAAACAGACGTATTAGACTAACCAGAAAAAAAACAGACATCGAGTTTGAATTAGACTAACATTATCAAATCTTCTAAACCGAACTCGAGTCTTGAATTTCTTAAGATTTGATGGGTTTAGAAGTAGCTGATCCATTTGAAGCCGAATTCTTAGGTAACCATTTCACAGGGTTTCGATTATAACAAGGCCAAGGAGGAACAACAACCTTTAAGAAACCCCAAAAGATCCAAAAACCAAGAAAACCTCATAAGTCAAAACCGCTATGTGAAACCATTTTAAAAGAAAAGTCTTACAAGTAATGCAATCACCACTCCTACTGCATAAACCCCAAAAGTGATCATCATGGATTGACCTATATAACCCAAACCGAAAGCAATCACCTATATCCATTCATTCATAACCCCAAAAGATCAACGTTTACTTTAATTTTCATATCGGTTTCAACCTTATTGCGGTTGAATGACTTACAGCAAATGAAAGAATAATGATTTGATTCCATTTCTCAGCTAATCTTTGTCCTTCAAAATCAATTTTACCTTCGAGTTTGGATTTCAATTGGTCTACATATCCATCTATTGTTTTAGTAAGTGAATCCATCTTTGATTATTGTTTGTTTATTTATTTTGAGAATGTGATCGGGTTTGTTGAATGATGATCCTGGTTTCTGAAGATGAAGATGAATGAGATTGGATGATGAAGTGTGGTGTCACTTCAGTGTGAATTGATTTGGAAGTTTGGTTTCTATTTCGACTTCGTGGAATGTTATCTTCTTATAAGCAATTATCCTACAACCGGGGTTTCAGGCAGCTTTGTGTCCAATACCTAGTTTCTGACATCACTAAGGTCAGCGCTTCAAGCTAGGTGTGCCCCGTGTCCGCTGCCAGATCCGTAACCCTATCCGGTACTTCTAAAACTTAGAACGCGTCCACAATTTGTCTCAACATTCTGACCAAGAGTTCTCAATGAAAATTGTAAGTCTGAGTTTGATTTCTAAATTTATAATGGTGATATAAAGAGACTGACAATCTGATATGTTGATATTTCCTAGTTACAGACTCTTCATCTCGATAGTGTAAAATGAGTACACCCACTCAAGCACTTTCACCGATTCGTTCATTCAATAGAACTCCATTACAATCTCGTCAATTATCAGGTTCAACTTCAAATCTCAATCCAAATCCAATCCCACCAGGTCCTTCACCAGCCTATACGACCAATCTAAGATCACGTCATGCATTATATGGTACAGATGATAGAGTCGTATTAGATTTAGGTTCGAAAGTATGGAAAGCTGGTTTCTCATCTGAAACTAAACCCAGAATCGTGATCTCAACTCAACAACTTTGTTCATGTGAATCTCTATGGAACTTATCTTCTTCTTCTTCTTCTTCCTCTAATTCTAATTCAAATTCAGTTAAAGTTTCTCAAGATCTCATTTTATTGGGTTTAAGAAAATTGTTTTTTGATCATTTGATGGTTGATCCTAAAATGAGAAAAGTTTTGTTAATCGAATCAGCTTTGATTCCTATTGAAGTTAGATCTCAAATTTCTTTAGTTCTTTTTGAATATTTACATGTTCCTTCGATTTCGTTTACTCCTTCTTCTGTTTTGGTTTTACTTGCCACTGGTACTGTCACGGGATTAGTGATTGACGTAGGTCATCTTGAAACTTCTGCTTTACCTGTGAGTCTTTTTCTTTGGATACTTGATCATATTTTCTTCATCTAATCAAACACACACAGGCTAATCAAATTGATTTGTGAGCAAACAGGTATATTTATCACGCCCATTGTTTCCACTTGTAAGATCAACCACAAGAGCAAGTTCAAGATTAAATTCACGTTTGAAAGCTCTTCTTTTAAGATTTGCACCATTCATACCGATTCCAAAATTCGGTCAATCTTCAAATTCATCTAGTACGGCCATCATCGATCGAAAGATTCCAGTCCCACGTGAATTTTTAACATCAGAAGTGATAGAAGATATCAAGACTAGATTATTATTTGTTTCAAAGGATCCATTAAGACCTTTAAGCACTTCAACTGAACTTCTTGAGACTCATGTGGCTACGAATTCACCTACTACTATTAATCCGAATGATTCGATTCATGAGTATTCAGAAGAAACTGATACAGTTTTACTTGATTCTTTAGAACGACATTATAAACATTCAACTTCACCGGAAACTATTGATATCACATATAAATTACCAACGATACAAACTTCTACAAGTAATCCAAGAGCTCCGTGTATGGGAGTGATTAAAATTCCAGGATGGATAAGAGAAAGAGCAGCCGAGATCTTATTCACCAATAGTCATCATCATCAAATCCATCAAATATTAGAAGAAGAAGAAGAAAGTTTAAGTATTACAGAAGTGGTTTTAGAGTGTTTGGCCAATCTTCCGATCGATTTACGTAAACCTTTAGTATCTAATTTAGTTATTGCTGGTGGTGGTGCCATGATTCCTGGGTTTATTCCAAGACTTAAAACTGAATTGATTCAACTCTTGGAATCTTCTCAATTGCAACCTCAAACTTCAAATGATTCAAAACCATCTAAATCCAAAAGAGGTACCCCGAAATATAATTCGATTAGTTCATTATCAACATCGATTCATATCTTAAACGATCCTCACCTAACTTCAAGAATCCCACCTTTATCACTCACCAGACCAGCTTCATTTCAACCTCATCTTTTATCTTGGATCGGTGGTTCATTAGCTGGTTCCATGAGAATTGGTGGTCAAGAAGTTATAAGAGAACATTGGGATTCGGTGATTGAAGCTTCCTTAGTTTCACAGGAATTTGCTATTGAGGATCGAAATCTGGAAGAGATTGAAGAAGATGGTGAAGAAGAAGATTGGGAAAGGAGGTTGGTTGGCTTGAGAATCGCTTGTGGGATCTTACCCGATTGGACTAAGATTATGTCTTGAAGATTATGTGATTTCTTAAAGGATTGGTATATAGTTCATAATTATATGACATTTGGATCATGGTTTGTTTTGGTAGGACATATTTTTTTGGTGGGGATGTTTTATTAGGATCTTATTATGATACTTGGAGTTTATCTCTCAAAGTGGTGTAGAGCTTAAATAATGAAAAACTTGTAATGGTAATAAAATAGATCTTTGGTTTATGATCAAAAGTTTACATTGTTCTTCTGAATTTGATGAAGGTTCAAAGGAGATGATTCTTTTGAAGAACTTCAGTAGTCTGACTTTCTAAGATGTACAGATTCTCATAGAAATCAAAGTTTTCATCAAAATTGAAGTCCATATGATTGATTTTAGAACATTTTACAACCAAAGAAAGAAAGAAAGAAAATCTGTATACATTTGTCATAGATAAAAACAAGTTAAGTCAAGTTTTGATATCTTGATATTTTGATTTTGAAAGAAAGGGTTTTATGAAATTCTTTTAACACCTTTCAGAATTAGTAGCATCAATAATTAAATCAACATTATCTTCAAATTGTAAGTTTGTTGATTGAATTGGAATTTTCATTTGACCGTACTGCCCCCCAAAAGAAAACCACAAACATACACATCAGATTTATGTTGTAGTTGGTCTATGTATGTGGATGAATTTGAAGGGAAGATTTTTGGCGGGGTTTTGGAAACTTACACCTCCAGTACAATTTTGAAAGATTTGTCTTAATGCTTCTTGTGCTCCATCTGTTGTACTAAAAATTGTTAAAAAGATGAGTTTGGAAATGTTTTTTATCTTGACCAAAAAGTGGGAATTGATTTTTTTGATGACTTACGTTTTGATTTCTTGATCAGTTTCAGCTTTTAATGTGATCTATCAAACAAAACAAAAAAGATACAAAAGAAACAAAGGTTTGGTAAAAAAAAAGATTTTATGAAGGATATATATAAGGTTTTTTTTGAAAGAGACTTACACCACAATTTCCACATGAGATTTTATAAGTTTGATCAGGAAATGAAATGGTTTGATTAGGTTCATCTGGATCACCTGAAGCTTTTATATTATTAATCGCTCTATTTCCCCCCACCCGCAAAAAAAACCAATAAGTATATGAAGAGGTTCTGTTGTCGAGTGTAGGTAGGTTTGATGAAGGGGTTTGGATTTACCTTGTACATTGAACTAAATCAATCGCGTATGGACCTCTGATATTACTACAGATTGGAACGTCGGGAGGTGTGGTGCTTTGGTATGATGTTGTGGTAGCTTGAGATTGGTTGATGAGAATTGAAATCGAAATGATCGTTAAGAGTTTGATTCGGTTGATCATTTTGATTTGGAATATTCGATTAACGAATCTTTGGAAAGGATTGCTTGCAGAATTTAGCTTAGAGGATTGAGCTCTGTCTTAATCCCAAATATAAGAGGTAGGAAGGCGTATCACCGCTCCCTTCTGCGAGCAGACGGGGGGATATTGCGACTCCGAGACGTGGGGTGAGAGGGGGTGAGTAGTACAGCTTGTTTCTAATTTTTTTTCGGTGGCGCTTTTGTTCGCTTAAGACTTTTTTGCCCCCAAGAAGATTTCTTAAACAGTTTTGCAGCTTTGTTTTGGAAATCTGCATCGCCACAGTGGTCAAGACTGATCAAAGATTGTTTTTACAGGGTTTGTACCCTTTGCATTCTCAAAATTAGCAGAGAACCAAAACTTGATCAAAAAGAGAATCAGGTTTTGCACCATGATGCACTTTCAAAAGAAGATCCTTCATACTCAAATTGACTGCATCAAGCTATCTATATGCTTAACTAAGCCCCTCTTGTTTTTTAAATAAAAGTGCATTTTGGCATGATTGCATATTACACTATCTAAATTTTACAACAAAAAGACTAGTTAGCCTTGAAAAAACAGCTATCTAGTCAAAGCAAAGTGTCTAGTCAAATCAAAGTGATTTGTCAAATGTAAGAAGCATATTGATTCTTTCTTTCTTGAGATTTAAGTACATTTTGTTTTTTAAATGTCTGTGAATCACATATCTTGGCTTACCACAAGCTCTGTCCAACTTCTTGTGAGGTTGCACAATGTTTAGAGCCCTCAAAATGAGCTTGCAAGTAAAAGCAAGTGAAAACCCTGCTATGCTCAGGCCAAACCCTGGGTTTTAGTCATAAGCCCCTCTTCAAGAGTGGATGAGGGTGTGTTGGAAGACTTAGTTAAGCTTGATGGATACAGAATTTTTGAAAATGAATGTTGCTCCTGTTGTTCTCAATTATTTTTTCATATCCGCAGTCAATCAATATTTTGCCCGCCTGGGTTATTCATCCTGATTGGGATCAGAAATTGAGCTCATGCAGCCTCAAGCCTGCTCAAGTGTTGGTATCAAGTGTTGAAGCTGGCTCGAGTCAAGCAATGTAATTCAACCTCAGGCTACATCATCAGCCATGTCCTCCATGCTTTTCCTACCAGATTGAAAACTACAGATATGAAAAAAAATCAACAATAACAGCTGGAACATTTATTTTTGAAACAGCTGTAGTATTAGATAAGTTATGTGAGTTTAGCTGAGCTCCAAGGACTTCAAAACATACAACTGAAGGATTGAATTTAATTTACACACCCTTAAGCCAAGAATATCAGGATTAAGATTTGCATGGTTAGCCTTGACATTGTATTCCATAAGGATATCATTAAAAAATCTTACCATCAAGAAATGTCCAATGCTGTTGCCAGGTAGAACAGGGTCTTGATGAGGAAAATATTGGGCAATTTTGTTGAGAGGTTGGCTGGTGTTGGATGTGGCAGCAATTGTGCTGGTGCCCAAAAGCGAGTTGATTTGTTGAATGTTGTTGACTGCAAGGCTATGTCCACGAGGTGAAGGGGCTGAATTGTGGGGTGTTTCAATTTTGCTGGGTTTCCAAAGGTCATACTTGTCTTGACAGGGGGCCTTGACAGCTACTTCAACCATGGTTTGGTTGACCTTGCCTTGGAAGCTTTTGTCTCTAAATACTGGATTGAGCAGGGTGAAAACAAGATTTTTTTTCTTTCTATTCTGTACTTCTCAACTACCCCATACTCTGTATTAGGTATCAAACCTAACTGTGTATGTGATGTTACACAACTCCTGCAACTTTTCTTGTCTCATCCAAAATGGACTGTTGAGTACTGTCACAGGCTTTGGGAACACATGTAATACTTAACAATCTTGGACTCAGCACAATTGCAAGCATTGCCAGCGCTAAGGACTTGCATGTGCTTCTTCAATATGCTTCAAAGTCAGCCTGAGCCCCGACCCGAAAAACGCGGGTAATGGCCTATCCGCCCCCCAAACCAATACCCAATGAGCCCCCCCGCAACCGAACCCTACCCCGAACCAAAGAAAACCCGGCTCTCAGACGCCCCCCCAAACCCTATCCCGAATGCCAAACCCCGCGGGGAGCCGGGGGTCCCCGCGGATAAAATCGGGGGTTTAAGCATTATGCCCCCCCGCCCCCGAACCCTAAGGGGCCCCCAATTTATTGGCACTGCCAGCATAAAGTAATTTTCCCAAGTAAAAAATGAATACATTTAGAGCCAAAAATGATTGAAAATGCATTTGATCAGCATTTGATCAGCATTAAATCAGCATTATTTAGCATTAAATGAGCATTTTTGATTGAAAATGCATTAAATGTAATCATTTTTTCCTTGGGAAAATTACCTTTTGCTGGGAGTGTGGGGGCCCAAAAAGCCTGACCAAACCGGCACCCCGAGGGTTTGGGGCTCGGGGAACCCTCGGGGCGTCGGTTCCGGGGCTCAGGCTGACTTCAAAGGACCCATAGCACAGGGAGGACCATGTGCTTGGTGGCATTTGACTGGAAGATTTGGGTGATGTTTTCAAACATTTCTAGAATTGGCAGCATGTCTTTGATGGTCAACCAGTTGGCCTTAGAGATGGAAAGTTTGGATCTCTTTGGGTCTGCAGTGTAGAGTTCAATTAGCAACTTCCTGAGAGTCAGAGTCTATTTCACCTGCCAAAATATGTAACACATGAATCAGTGTTCATGAAAATAGTATAGAGAGGAGAAAATTCAATAAATTACAAAGATTTTCAAAAGAAAAATAAAGGAAATGGAGATAATCAAAAAAGAAAAAGAAAAAAAAGATTGAAAGGAATAAGATGAAACCTGAAACACTTACTACATGCATAGTAGAATTAATTCCAGCGGGTAGGGGGCAGCTCAGTTGAACCCATTTTTAGACCATTGATTCTGTCCCAAATCTTGACAAAAGATTCAAGTCCCTGGGGACTCTTGCAGATGTCAGTATTTATGGCTCTAACTTGGCTGGCCATGGTAGTCTTCTTCTTGCGGGTGATGATACCAACAGGTGGGTTTTTGTCCAGGCAAGGTTCATTTGGATTGATGGTGGCTTCAAATGAGGCTTGACTAAAGTCAAATTCATCTTGAGTTGAGCCATGGACTTCCAAAGAAGCCTAGTCCAAGATGCCGTCTGTGAGAGGGTTGATAGTGGCACCAGAGGCCACACAAGTATCATTCTTCATCCAGGGTATCTGTCAGGCTCAAAGGTTATCTGGGATTCCACAAGTCCAGAGGTCTTGTAGGCATCAATATCGGCATAAGTCACTTGGCCCATGCCTTTGAGGAAATCCTTGGCTACAAGCTCAATTACATGGCAGAGAGAGACAGCCAGGGAGTCTTGACTGGAAAGGCCAGTGGATTCCAATCAAAGCATATCAATTGCTCAAGAGATCTACCGTTGTGTGGTTTTTATCTCCAGTCACTGAGAGATGTTTGCAAACCACTTCAACATGTTCTAGAGCCTCCAATAAACCTTTGCAAGGTTTTCCCTACTGTGTTTTCCCTCCAATGATTTGAAGGAAAAGATACAAACAAAAAGGATTTCCCAATTAGCAAAAATTGTGAGCTATCATAAATGAAATCTCAGCTTAACCAAGCCCTCTCTGCGCGGCGGTCTCTGCCCCCTCACAGAAGGGCTTATGACTAATTGTGGATTCCTGGTGTGAGCACTACAACAAGGATCAAGTGTCCTTGAGTAGTTTTTTTTGCATTTTTACGCTTCCCTGAGAAGGAAACCTCACTTCACTCCGCAAGCAAAGTTGTTCACACCAGGTTTTTCTACATGATCTTGTAGCCTAACATGCTAGGCAGTCTAAATAATGCGGCCAAAAAAGTGGAGTGAAGATTCTTACAACACAACTGTATTGTTAATTCAAAAGTTGGGTATGACATGAATATTCAATACACACTTGTACGCCCCTTGATAAGTGGAACATAAGGCTTGGAAACTAGCCTCAGGAATAGCATGATAGAGTGGTATTTCCCTCTTGATAACAAGAAATCAGAAACACTCTTACTTTATTTATTCTCTGATTTCCTCATTCATAACGACATTTCATTTTATTAAAGAACCAATCTCAATTTAATAAAAAAAAACCGATATCTAACACATGAAATCCAACCTAAAAGTCTTAGTCATTTGGTGTTGGTAAAACTGAAAGAAAAAGAAACGTTAAATTTGACCAAAGAGAAAGAAAGAAAAAAAGAAAAAACAAAAACAAAGCAAAGTATATAAAAAAGAGATATAAAATAATGAACACATTGTTACGAAAGAAAAAAAAGAGTTGAAAAATCAAACAAGTCGATCATTCATGTTGTTGGAGCAGAAGGAGTTGAGTTATTCACATTCGTTCCGGTTACACTTAGTTTAGCCATTCCACTCAGTTCATCTTGATGTTCGATCAATTTAGTAATCTTTCCAATCGCAATCGTTTTACCTTCATCTCTTAATGTGAATCTACCTAATTGAGGATGATCTTTAAAACTGATTTTTCCCCCAAAAAAAACACACACACATCAAAAATGCATCAAGAGTGAATCACGTAAGCAATGAAGTTGAGTGATGATACCAATCAATCCAAGAAAATAAACCAAACTTACGTTTCAACACAAATCGGTGCAGCCATCTCAAGTAAAGCGACGACCTTCATTCCTTTCTTAGCAAACTGAGGTGGTCTTCTAGACTTCTTACCTGATTTCTTATCATAATAATGTAACAAACCTGAAAGTGTACATTCTTCTGCCAAAGTATGTACATGCATCACAGCTCCATATCCTGCACAAATTATGTTTTTCGAATCTAAGATGGCTAATTGAGCTTCGAATCTGGAAACTGTATGGATCGGTTTATGATGATCTGTTAAAACAAATCCTGGTAACTGGTTTTTGTTTTAAAAAATTATGGTTTAGGTTAGTATCATTCAATCGAATTGAAAAAGTCAAAAAAAGTCATTGGTCTCAGTTGTCACTTACTACATCCTCATCTTCGATTCCTTTCAATCGGATCCGAACGTTATCACCACACAAAGCTCTAGGAACTTCATCTTCCATTTCATTATAGATTGCTGAAACCTCAACCGTAGTCTAAGGAAAGCCAATAAATGTAATCATCAGTGGTTGAAAACTTGGACTTTGAAGCTTTGAGAAATGCATACCTTGTTGGGCATCATCAAGACTGTATCACCCTTCAAAACCCTACCTGATTCCAATTTACCAACGACTACAGTTCCCATATCTTTATATTTTTCAGAAACAGGCATCATTAAAGGTGCATTATATTTTCGATCCAAGAGTTGCATGTTATCCAATAACTCTAAAAGAGGAGGACCTCTAAAACAAAACCATCACAGAGTATCAAAGTCAATTCAAAGAAGTCTCAAAGCTTAAAACCAAAGGAAATCGACTCATCACTTACTCATACCAAGGGCATTTCTCCTTGCTTACTTTATCCTTAATGTTTCCTCCAGTATACCCTGAAACCGGAATAAAAGTGATATCTTTACTTGGATTAAATCCGGTTCCTTTTAAAAATGGAGTTAATTTATTAATGATCTCATCAAATCTAGCTTGATCCCATTCAACAGTAATATCATCCATCTTATTGATCACCACAATCAATTTCGAAACTCCTGTAGTCTTCACTAACATTGCATGTTCTCTAGTTTGACCACCTCTTTCGAATCCAGTTTCGAATTCACCTTTTCTAGCCGAAATCACCAAGATAGCCACATCAGCTTGACTTGCACCTGAGATCATAGCCGGTACATAAGTCTTATGTCCTGGTGCATCTAAAATCGTATATCTTCTCTTTTCAGTTTCGAAATAAGCTCGACCGATCTCTACTGTTTTTCCTTTAGCTCTCTCTTGTATTGTTGAATCTAATGCCCATGAAAGATACCAAGACTCTCTACCGGCTTCTTTGGCTTCTTTTTCTAATTTTTCCATCGTACGTTTATCTACCATTCCAGTTAAATATAATATATTACCTCCCATCGTCGATTTACCTGCATCTACATGTCCAATAAAGACTATGTTGACATGTGTTTTACCTTCTTCTTTCACTTCGCTATCTTTTTTAGTTTCATAAAGATCACGTAAGGTTTCTTCATCAACTGCTGCTTCTACTTCAGATTTGATCGCATCTGCATCTTTCACATGTCGTCGAACTTCTCCCATAGTGATGACTTTTCCCGTACTTTCGTGGGTGGATGAGTCAGTATTCTCGCGTGTTCGAGGGGTCTCGACTTGAGCAGGAGGAGTCGAAGTCGTCGAATCGGATTGAAGAACCGTCTTGACGTTCGATGAACCAGGTGAGTTGTTATTAGACATCACCTTTTTGTTTGATGGTGCAGGAGTTTGAGCTCGACTACTCGGAGCACTGTTCTTCAACTCCACAGCCGATTTAGTAGGTGGAGTGTCTTTCTTTTTCGAGCCTCCGATACTCAAGGACATCACTGCAGGCTTATCCACACTTCCAGCACCAGGCGCACTAGGCTTTGATCGAGTGGTAGAAGCCAAAGAGATCGTCTTGCCTCCGTTCGCATTAACTACTGGTGCAGAATTAACAGCTGGGTTGACACGTGGAGGTTGAGCGGATGGAGCTGTAGAACGTGGAACAGGATCTTCCCAATTATCAGGTGCTTGGTGTTGTTGAGGACGTTGATACTGTTGCTGAGGATAACCATAAGAATGAGGAGGAGGATGAAATGGTTGTTGAGCACCATAAGCACCGGGATATTGATGATTGTAAGCTTGGTGTTGTCCATAAGCTTGTTGTTGATGATGAGGATGCTGATAATGTTGTTGATAGCCATGATTAGGAGCTCCTTGTGGTGGATAAGCACCACCACCACCATAACCTGCTCCTTGTTGAAATCCACCACCGTATTGAGACTGAGCTTGACCCTCGGAAGGTGGGTTTGAAGAACCAGGTGGAACAGCACCTGGTTGAAAGGTGTTTGCGTTGGTTCGAAAGCCTTGGAATGAATTTGCGTTTGGATTCATGACGTTTTGAAATCCGAGAAAACAGTTGAAACTGAAAAGAGTAAAAAAACTTTTTGTGATGAGAGATTTGATCGATTGATATGATTTAGACCTTTTGGTATTTAAAAGTCAGCTCGTGTGATCTGATTGTGCTGAATGCCGATGATAGTCGGAGATTGAAGTAAGTTGAAGACGAACCTAATGAAAGTCAACCGATTCCGATTGGGAAGAGTTTGATATCAAGAAAAATGTAGTTGATGATACTCAAGAGAAGAGATGGTTTAAGTTTCTATTTCTGGATGAGTTCAGGTTGGTGTCGATCAGTTTTTTGATTTTAGTAAATTCAAGAGTCAAGACAGAGAAAGAGAAGAACTTGAAAATTCAAATTCAACGATCCGATACTCTCAGAACAAATCGGGTCAGCTCAAACACCGGGTCGGGCTAAGACAAAAGAGCTCATTCAGAACTTCAACCCTGCTTCATTTCCATGATGTTTTGGTGAAATCTGAACATTGAACAGCTCATGTTCTTTCTCAAAAATGGTAATCAAACAAACAAAAATTCACACAAATCATCATTCAAAGTATAAACATTCCAAAACTCTTTCTCCTTTGACAGCCTCACAATTGATCTAAATTACATAGAACAATCTCTGGAATTCAGGCCGGGACTGTGACGGTCTGTAACTTGGCCCGACCCGAAGAATAAACTCAACTCGACTCTCGCGCCTCAGCCTAACGCGACTGATCATCCATGATCCATAAATGAATGCCTTTCATCTGAATTTATCCTGAAAAACGAATCACACCATTGAACCTTTCGAAGCTTTATCAAGAAATCAAAAAATCGATAATGCAGGTGAATTCTAAAGATTTCCTCTTCTCAATCTTATTCTCCCTCTTTTTCATGTAACTTACCAAAATAATATCTTTTAATATTAATTTTCGATTTTCGATTTCGTTGGTGTTGAGAAACATATAGAATCCATTCGAAGAACAACAAACTGTATTACTAAGTAGAATGATAGGAAATATAGAAAAACTATCAGAAGCTATGGAAGAATTAACCAATGCATTAGAAGTACGTTCTCTTTCTTTCCCATCAACCCAACTTTGATAAACTTTTTCATACTGAGAAGTTTAACCATTTTTTTTTCTGATTGGGTTTGGGTTTGCGTTTGGGTTTGGATTGATGGGGGTTTAGGAATGTACAAAGTATAATTCTAAAGTCTTTGAGTTTCATCAAGCTTTGGAACATTATAATTTGAATGTAAAATACAATTTAGAAAATCAAGAAGTAGAAAACCATTAAAAGAAACCTGAAAGATTAAGAAATTCGATATAACAAAGAAGATCTTGGTGTATGGACAATTAAATGAACACTTTGATTTGTTTTGAAACAAAACTTATGATCAGATAGGTTCAATAAAATGATTCATGTAAAAAATTGAAACTCGATTGTAACATATTTTTTGTTGGATTCAGATCAGATCATCAAAAGTAAGTTTCAATTTCAAACGCCGATACCACAACTACTAAACCTCTTGAAAAATTGGTTTAAAACTTTCTGTATATCTCAAGAGCTTTACCAAGATCTTCTGTTGCTTGTAAAACTCCAGCTGGATGTACATTTCTAGTTTCTGTTAATGATTTCAAATGACGTGACATGAACGTCACAGCACCTTCGATGGCTTCTTTAGCATCGAGCAAAACTTGTGGGTCGCATTTTGAGGCTTGTTTTGAAACTGGAAGAGTCGTTTGTGATTTGACTTCGGAGGATGATTCTCTGATGGGTTGGGTGGTAGGACTAGGTTCATGGTGAATATACCGTTGGAAAGTACTCGTAGTGGATGGTCGGACCGATGTAGACGATCGATCAGGTAAAGTAGTGGTAGAAGAAGAAGAGCCGATCGGGTTCGAGATCACTCCTCGATTTCCGTTTCCATTCGCTTCAGGTGCTTGTGAAACTGTTTGATTAGGTTGCCAATCTTGTTCACAAATCACACACCATTTCCGTTTGAAAGTAATATCATTGGTAGGAATCCGTTTAGGACTACGCATCAAAGGAATTGCCCAACAGGTTAAGTTTTGACAACTTGAATCTAATAAAGTCCAACCTTGTAATAAGAGTGAACCGATTCGACTAGAAGCTAGATCTGATTGAAGTCTTCTAGACTCTAAGACTTCGGGTGATGCGATTGGATTGAATGCTTCGAGTTCTTGGTTGGCTTCGGTTTCTTCTTGGATGGTTAAGATTGGGGTGGGAGGTGTTGAGGTACGTGAATGGGTTTGGTTTGGGTCTGGGATACTTGCGGTTGATGATCCAGATGGTGAAGCATTCGGTTTATCTTCTCTTGGACCTCCATCGCATCTATTTATACAAAAGTACATTCCATGTGATTAATGATTGGTCAGTAAGTATCTTAATAGACGGTCAACAGTACTCAAAGCGATCACATACCTTGCACAAAACTCACTACCTGCTTTAGATCTCATTAATGGACAACCAATACAATCACTCTTTGGACAATTCACATCTGTTAAAGTCCAACCTATTCAAATCAAATCAAATCCAAGTCAAGAAAGCATATAAGAGTTAGTGATCAGTTATGAAATTGAAAAGGTTTGAGCAAGTTCTCTTGGAGGGAGATTCTTTACCTTGTAACATATAACGACCAAGTATTGCTGAGACATCAGAAGTTTTAGTTGCCATGATCTTTAAAAGAAGTATATTTTGAGCTCAAGACCTGTTAGAGGGTTTTTGAGTTGAATGATAGGATTCGAAAATCTTCTGACCAATACAGTGAAGAAAACTTAGGGCTTCCTTAAGCTAGGGTACATATTAGAAGGGACCCGTATTTTAATTTTGAGTGATGAGTTTTGATATCAAGATGACATCTACAAACAAAGGCTCAGCGCTCCAGCCCAAAGTATTTGAAATCCCAGAATGAGGACATCAAAGACCAATCTCAAATTCCATGACTTTCTTTCCTGTTTCATCAAAAAGTAAACAGTTCCAAATGATGCTATTTGGGAGGGAGCGTGAACTAAAGGTAAGGTTGAGTTTGGGGTAGAAGGAGCGATAAAAAACGTGAAGGTGACCGTGTACATATGTAGCATCCTCTCTGATCCTCCTGGGAGGTGCCGGTGTACTACAGAGGTGAGTCAGGGCTCGACTATGTATGACTCGGGGGGAAGGGACTTTAATGAGTTTAGACATGGGCAGACTGCAAAGACAGAGGGACTGAGTGCTTTCGCCGATCGGACGATTAGGTCCGATCGGATCTTCAGATCATGGATCTTATGAAAGGTCAAGAAAGGGAGGGCAATCATCATATTGGAATGAATTTGCTAGAACCATCATTCTGACATGTTGTAGGGTATCGATCAGGATATATTGTATCAAGCCGACAACCAAGATAAGAATAAACTACCAAACTACAACTTCTCCTTCAAAATAAAACATGATCGAGATAAACAACACACACACACAAGAGTACACAAAAAAGACGAGCAAGAGAGGAATGGTAATCGAAAAGGAAAAAAGCTTATCAAACAATCGAAAGAAGAATGTATGAAAACTAAATCTCTTGTATCTAATATCTAATCTAATCAAATCCGTTCTAAAGTAAAAGGAAATTGAGAGTGAAAGGTTTAGGAGAGATTCGCTTATGCACCGAAACCGTAAAGAGTTCGTCCTTGACGTTTGAGAGCGTAGACTACATCTAAAGATGTAACTGTTTTACGCTTAGCATGTCTAAGTAAGATGAAAGAATGTTACGTCAGTAAATGAGGAAAAGGAGTCGAAGAAGAAGATAAAAGTTAACTAACTCGGTGTAAGTAACAGAGTCCCTGATGACGTTCTCAAGGAAGATTTTAAGAACACCACGAGTTTCTTCGTAGATAAGACCAGAGATACGTTTGACACCACCTCGTCGAGCCAGACGTCTGATGGCTGGCTTGGTAATACCTTGGATGTTGTCTCGCAAGATTTTACGATGACCTATATAAAATGACAAAAACATAACAAAAAGTTAATATAAATAGAAAGACAGATGTAGAGTGTGATGAAATAGGAAGAAAGGATCTTGTAGACTGACGCTTAGCACCACCCTTTCCAAGACCTTTACCACCGCTTTTACCGCGTCCAGACATGATGATATGAAGTTATAAGAGGGTTTTAAAAGTTGAAGGTTTGGTAAACGGTTTGGATAGTGTAGTAGATTGATTTAGATGTCGGTTGAGGACAGATGGGGGTATGAAGAGAAAAGGAAAGAATTGAAGGAGATAAGACAGGCTTTTATACCCTCTTGTTTGGCTATCTCGGTACCGAGACCACCTGAGCGGGTATCCAATACAGGCTTAGTGCACCTTTTACAGTTTGAAAAGAACTCCGGACCACGCGTTGTGATTGACCAAAGACGCGTCGCGCTTTTCCCTTTGACTGCTCGAGCAGATTCTATGTATGAAAGCCCCTTTGATTCGTCATACGGACTCAGCATTGATTTTCTTATACAGTCAGTTTTAGTCCTCAGCTTGATCACCCTGGCTCGAACACCATCTCTTGATGAACGTGTATTCAATCTGATTTCTTCATGAAACGCTTGTATTTTTGTTATCTTTGATGAGCATTTAGTCAAGAACTGCTTATATCCTTATGAGCATCATGAGGCACTTGCAATGCATTGTCAGGCCATGTTGCTTATGCCTGAGTCAACACTCGACCATTTAGCTTTGACAGTTTATCTGAGACGCGTCAAAACACTTTATTCCCATTAAGGAATCCCTCAACACAGCTCCACGGATGCGTGTTAGAATCATTTACAATCAGGGGTACTTAGATGCGTCTGAGTGATGAGTGTCGACCAGTTGATCCTGAAACCACAGATAAGCTTAACCTGCTCAACCACAACTTCACAACCCACAAGCAACAGAGCAGGTGTACAGACATCCACACTGCGTTCACTTTTCTTGAGGGGCGTTTCTCATACATACAGGGCAGCTTGCCAGGGTAACCACGATCAGATTACCTAAGCGCGTGGCTCGATCGCGTGTGTCGCGTGCGTTTGTTGACGCGACTTACTTTGGCGCGTCACAGCAATACAGCTGCTGCGTACAGCTTAGCTCATCACCCAGCTTTATCAACAAAGAGTATTCTGAGAAACACGTATATAAAGGCCTCTTCTCAACCCACAACCTTCTCTTTCTCTCCATCCGTCAGACAAACTATTACCCACCAACCTCTGCAACCTCTGTTACCAGTTCTCAAACTTTCAATACCCTCTTAAACCTATCAGATTCTACCAGATCCACTTTAAAACCAAACTCATCCTTATCAATCAATCAATCGAAATGGCTCGTACTAAACAAACCGCACGAAAGACCACTGGTGGAAAAGCTCCACGTAAACAACTTGCGGCTAAGGCTGCTCGAAAGTCTGCTCCTGCTACTGGTGGTGTTAAGAAACCACACCGATACCGGTTAGTCTTTTCTTTAATTTCTTTTGACTCTGGGGTTTGCTTTTGACTGATCTCTTTATTTGGTTTTCCTTTTACTCTAGTCCTGGAACTGTTGCTCTTCGAGAAATTAGACGTTATCAAAAATCCACTGAACTTTTGATCCGAAAACTTCCGTTAGTCATATTTCTCTTCATTTGATCCTTTGTCCTTTAGTGGATCTCAATCTGATTTTATTTTATCCATTTTGGTGTATGTTTTATAGTTTCCAACGTCTTGTTCGTGAAATTGCTCAAGACTTCAAAACCGATCTTCGTTTCCAATCTTCAGCTGTCATGGCACTTCAAGAATCGGCTGAAGCTTACTTAGTAGGGTTAGTGACTCTTTGCTTTCTTTCTACACCCACATACAAACTCATTTTATTTTTAATTTATTTTTGGTTTAGATTGTTTGAGGATACCAACTTGGCAGCCATTCATGCTAAACGTGTTACAATTCAACCAAAAGATATTCAACTTGCTCGACGATTAAGAGGAGAAAGATCATAACCTGTTTTTTTCTTTCAACTTTTTTTTGTTTTGATCATTGTTGTTTACCTCTTACTTTTTTGTGTGTGTCTTGAATTGTTGTGATGTCGCTTTCCTTTTAGATTAATTTGTGTTTTTGATTTTTTTTTGGATGTAATGTGTATTGTCTAAAAAAAATACCTCTTTGAGAAAGATCTTCTTTCACAGTCGCGTGGTCCAAAAAAACTATCGTCCTTTGCCTAAAACGAGCTTCACTTTGAAGTGGATTTCAATTGATGACTCCTTCTAAAACATGAGTGGTGCCTGAAAATTTCTGGATCATTCAAGTTCAATTTTACCAAAGACAGATTCACAATTTCCGGCTAATGACCTCCAACCGTTATATTTCTTTGAGATCTGCTTTCCTTGCACCTCTTCCGCTTCACCTCGATGTCGTGCGCAAGCGGTGATTTGACTCAGGGGTGAGCTTGCACTCTGCGTTCGTCCCTATGTAGTATGTGCGACTGCAGTCATGTCAGTGTGGTGGACGAGAGATCAGAAGAAAAGATGCGTTTGGGGACGAGGGTGGTGCGCGCCCGTTTTGTGGCTGCATGCAGTGAACGGCAGCAACTTTTTCACAAGCATGTCACATAAAGTAGTTCACAAAGGTGACATGAGGTCTGATCGATTGAAATCACCCAAGGACCAAACCAACAAATTAACCAATCGATCAACAAAACCACCCAAACCATCAAACCAAACCATCCCATCAACATTGTAACAGAAAAAGAAAACAAAATGGACGCATCTAAATTCAATTCACAAGAATCACAACAATTAAATCAACTAATTGAAAAGAAACAAATGAAAGATTTTTTAAAATTATATTCAGGATTAGTTGAAAGATGTTTTATGAATTGTTGTAATGATTTTACTTCTAGATCTTTATCTACAAAAGAAGTAAGTCTAACAACCCTCTCTCTCTTTTTCCGTTTTACTTTACTCTTTTCTTTTATTCTTCGTTTTTTTTGATGTGTTTTGACTGATTGATCTTTTTTGGGGAATTTTTCTTTTCGATTGGAAATGATAGGAAACTTGTGTAAATAATTGTACAGATAAGTTTTTAAAACATTCAGAAAGAGTTGGAGCAAGGTTTTCAGAACATAATGCAGAAATGATGGAAAAACAACAACAAATGAAATAGAAAATTGAAAACTTAGAAACCTCAAAACTTCACAAATTCAGATCAAGAATCGATTAAATGTTCATTGGAGTTCATATGTCAAGAAATCTCAACCGTAATACTTTATCTCATGTATTGATCTAATTAAATAAAATCAAACCCATTAGGTATATTTCTTATGAAGAATTGCATTTTCAAAGGACGGAAAGATAGTCAATGGGAGTGTTTATATCAATTTAAATGTATACAAAACACATCAGTTTGAATGATTCTTCCTTCAATGATCCAAAAAGAAACCAAACCTTTATGATCTTTACTGATACAATGCCTAGGCCTAAGCTGGGTTTGGGTACATTGGATTGAGTTCAAAATGATCAATTTGATCAATTGAATCCCAAGATCAATCAAGTGAGTAAGTATACAACTTATACAAGACTTTGTGATATATACAAAACGGAGTTTTGGTAAGGAAACCAATGCGTGAATACAACTGAGAAAGACGAGTTTTGATATTAAAAACTAAAGATGACTCTTGAATTGGAAAGTCAAAAATCATTTACAAAGATTCCAGTCTAGCCCTCACAGGACTAATCCCAAAAGTTCTCCAAAACTCAGTACTATCTAAAACCCTACCTAATTGATCAGGCGAACGAGGCAAGACTTTAATCGAATCAGTCACCATCAATTCTTGAACCCATTTAGCTTGTGGACCGATAGTAACTTCGGTTTTTCTTCCATGTAAACCTGATTCACCCCAAGCCGATGCTAAATCCCACCAATCATAAACTCTTTGATCAGTTAAGATCCAACGTTGACCTCTAGATTTTTCAAATTGATTGAAAACTTCTAGAATCGATCTTGAAACGTCTATTCCATGAATCATATGAATACTAGTTTTGGTAGATAAGATTTCTTTGGTAGGCGCTACTTTTGAGACATAGTTTCGGATCGATCGTTCGTTTCCATATAATCCTGATAAGTTTAAAACCGTCGTATAGAACTTCATGGATCCTATAATGGTCTGATTGATGCGCAGTAATTCGTCTTCTGATTTCGCTCGGATGTTGGTTTGATCGTAGGGTGAATGACGATCGATATAGGTTTCTGAACGTTTTGGTTTTTCTGAATTGGATGTTGGATTTAAAGTGGGACCTCCCTAAGAAAAAAATGAAAGAATGATCTTATCAGTTTATGAATTTCTTGAAAAAAACTTAAATCAAGTGAAACTCAATGAATCAAACTTACATCAAAGATTCCAGTACTACCTAATTGAATCACATTAACCGATTCAAATCCTTCAAGGTTTTGATGAGTTTGACTGTAATTCTCTAAAAGGGTTTGATATGCTCCGATTTCTTTGATAGGAAAAGTGATCAGAATACATTTGGTAAATGGTAATTTTTCATAAGATTTTGAATTGTTGCCAGTCGAATCAAACGTGAATGGGATTGAATTAAATTCACCACCACCATTTCTTGTGGTTGATGCATAAGTTAATTTAGTATGAGTTTTGATATATGGACTGTTTAAATTGAAAACATAACATCGATTTAAATGTTAAGATATTATTTGATTTGAGTTTGAATTCTTGGGCAAAACAAACTTACATTAAAAAGGTGCAAGTCCAACCTGCACCTAAGATTAAGATATCAACTTCTTCTTGATTTGATGGTTCGTTTGATGAGATTGTTAATTGGTTCATCATTTTATTAAGGAATGGTAAACAAGATGAAATCAAATCGATGGACATTGGATTGGATATGTAAACCGAATGACTTGGTGTTGGTATTTATAAATCAGGCGAATGGGAATGGGAATGAGACCGGATGGTAATCTGATTCCTACTGACGGGTCGGGTCGGATTCTTTGAATTCTGAAGCCATGACGTCATACATAGCTCTTTACCAGAATTTCCAACTCATCCCATTGGGTTCAACTTCAAACTCGATTTTTGATTTAAATCAATCTTTCTGTGTCTCCCTCTTCCTGTTTTGACCTGTTACATCTTCTTCTGGAAAATATCATATCAAGATACTCATCTAAACAGATCACTTGCACAACATGAGTCTTTATAACTCAAGTCTCAAAGGTTGAGTTGATGGGTTCAGTTTCAGTTTCAGTTTCATCAAGAAATAAAGTTGGTTCACTTCTATGGTGTTTGTTTATTTATTTTTTGCAAGTCACTGGGATCATAAGCTACAGAAAAGGGTATGGTGAAACACAACTGAGACAAAATTATAAAGTACCTAATGGTCAGATCGAAATCAAGATGAAATGGATGAAGAAAAAGGGAAGAGTTACCACCAAAAACATCATAATTGTGTACAGTCATCTCTGAGATAACCCATACCTTTTTATGGACCCCAAAAGGTATGGGTTTTTATAGAGTATGGGCTAGCAAGATTCTCTGCAATAACCCATACAAGCAAATTCATGGGTTATTGCAGAGAATTGTTTCAGAGAGTTGAGGTGAGATTGCTGAGCGCTTTCATTGCATATGTATCCAAGAGGATTGAAAGAGGAAAGACAAAATGGTAGGCTGTACTAGTGATTTGGAGTGTGCTGCACTAAAGGCCCGCAGGGCTTGACGGAGAGCCCCCCCCCCACAAGCTTTAGCTTTGCCAGAATCATTGTGTGTGAGGTAATCTGTGACAACTTCTGCAGATTTGATTAAAGCAGAATACACTGGCTGAGCAGGCACCTCAACTTCAGAGTGCTCTGGAGCCGGAATATCTGTGCCGTGGTTGCATTGTTCAATAGCTTCAAAAATCTCCTCCGGAGTCTAGGTCTCAAGTCCACTCACATGCTCATTGGTAGGATTCAAGAGTTCGGACAAAGACATCATGTTCTTTTTATGAACAATATTGAATTTCTGATTTATTCTCAGTTTTCAATCTAGCATATCCTTCTTCAATATTTGAGACATAAAAAGTTGACAGGTCATTAGGAAGCATGTTTTTTGGTAGAATAGTTGAATCTGTGATGAATTGTGTTGAGCTTTGATGATTTGTGTGGAATGGATGGAGTCAAATGGCTATGAAAAGCTTTGAAGGTGTGTCTCAGGAGTCTCCTGTGCAGTATTAATTTTTTTTTCTTGGGGTGAAGTATGGGTTTTTTGTCTCTGGTTCTCAAAAAAACAGTATGGGTTAAGGGAAATAGTAGAGTCATGGGTTTTTGATCCATTTCCCCCGCCCATAAAAAATATGGACCCAAAAACCCATGGGTTAAGCTAGAGCATGGGTTATTGGGTGTATGGGTTATTTCAGAGGCAACTGTACCAAGTTTTTTGGTAACCAGATTAGGTTTCAACATGGCTAATCTCATAGTAGTACTAGAAATAAATAACTAATTCATGATGTAAAAGAGAAGAAAGTGGAACACATCTTTCTTGATGAGTTTGTGTTCAAGAAGATGTATGTAACTCTTGAGATGCTCAATCTCATGACTATGGTAAAATTTTGATGACTGAGACATTTAGGATGATCCTTGAGCCCTTAAACTTGAGGATTGAGGGTTCTGGTAGCCAAAATGTCTTTGAAAGTTCTGTATGATGCAGTATTTATGACCCAAAAAGGGTTATATAACACAGGGAAAGGATAATCTATCAATTTACCAATAACTAACAAAACATGTTGGGCTACGGTAAAGCTACGGTCAAATCCTGTATTAAACAACCAGGAGATCTGGGCCTTAGTCTTAATGGGATGTACTACCCTCTGGCCCAGACCACACATGTACTTTATCATTTGGCAGTGCTTGCAAGGATAGGAGTGGTGAAGCAGCTGGGCGCCCAAGTCCCTAGTAAACTAAACTAATAGAAGTTGTCTAAGGAATGTTCTTCTGACACCAACAACTGGACTTGAAGGGTACTTGCTCATGAAGGAGTATGGATAATTAGTATCAAATGAGAAAAAGATAACAGCACCATAAAGATATTTCTGAGAATTGATATAAGTATTCAAGTTCCAATCAATTCAAAATAGACAAAAACCAAGCTTAGCCCTCTTTTGCAATGTTATTCTAGAATGGTAATGAAATATAAATCACATGAAACAAATTATATCCTTTGACATAAGGGCTGTTTAAAATCACCTAGTAGTTTCAAAATAAGTTTATAACAATAAAAAAATTGAACATTTGTAAGAGATAAACAAAGAAAGAAAAACAACTTGGACAAAAAAGGTTACAAGTGTATAAACCATCATACAAAAATTGGTAAACCACTGAAACCCCAAACTTATTGTTCTTGGTAACTGTTAACACAGGGGAATGGGAAATTTGAATTGAAATTACAGGTTGGACCCGTGAATGACGGGTGGGTCTTTTCAATTATATTATTTGATTTGACAGATATGACATCATACAGGACCCTGGAATGCCCCTACAAAGGGTAGTCACAAAAAAAGTTCTTTTTGAGCTCTCTCGGGGCCCCCAATTTCCTATCATAACCCATAATTCCCGGTAACTATCAAATAACATCTACAATCTCAAGACGACTTGATTCAAAGCAAGAATCAATCAGGAAAACACTCAAGGGGTGCTTTGGCGATCCACTAGCTGTTCCTCAGCATTGATGAGCTAGTTTCAAGTAGCCAAAGTGTCTTAAAAACTGGTGTTTGGCAATGGTCAAACGGATGAGAGGAGGACAATGAGCGGGCTAAAAACCAAATGAGGCATGTGTAAACCCATGCTGGAAAGCCCCGATAGAGCTCAAAAAGAACTTTTTTTTGTGACTACCCTTTGTCGGGGCATTCCGGGGTCCTCATCATACTGGTTTACCACTTTCACCATCAACTTTCTCATTGTGTTTACTTTCATCAAAGCATAATGTCTTTGATCAATAAATTTTTCATTTAATTCTATTGTCTTAAACTCAGCTTAGTTACATTAAGAGTAAAAACTTTAGCCCATCCGCCCATTTCCCTTAACAGTTGTTCAAGAGTATTGAATTTTGTCAAATGTGATTATTAGTTTAGTTCTTTTTTAAAGTTTGTATATTTTTGGCACTTATATTTTTTATCTATTTTAGTTAGTCATTTTTTTCTTTTTTTGGTAATTTTAGTTCAAGAACTGTTGTATGTGATTATGTCTGCTGACTACCCTGTAGGGTGTGTTTCATTCTACAAGTAATCTTATCACTCTTGGCTTACGCCTTGGTCTTTGCACCAAACATATGTCTTTCCGTTATTATTTTTATACCAAGCAAGTAGTAAGCTTAACAGTCTCACTTCCCAAAGTCTCTTCCAAGGTCCCAAGGCTTGAGCAAGGGACTCAGCACTAAAAATAGATTCCTCATGTGAGAATCAAGCAGAGCCTGTAGTTTGATAAAAAAATCTACAATATTTTCTGTTTTTTCTCCCTGTATAAACAATATTTGGTGCAAAAGAAAAATATAATTGGCAAGATATAATTGTATATTCTCCAATTGGAACCCTCTCTGTATCTCTCTGGAAACATATACTTTTGAGTGATTGAAGATCAATCATTTTCACCTCTTTCTACAAAATACAGGTTCAAAGCAGACTCATTGCTTCCCTGTAACCCATTAGAAGGTGTTCCATAAATGATCAGGCTGAGCTTCTAGTTTTATTGTATGTACCAAGCATCTTTCATTATCCTTTTATTTTGCTTCAAGCCCCATTCATCTATACACAGGATGGGATAATTGAAGTAATGTTTTTTAAGCCAATACAGACTATTTCTTAGGCAAGGGATCCACTTTTAGTGTTAATTCTTTGCCTCAAGCCTTGGGCTTTTGGAAAAGGACTTTGTTAAGTTTGTGAAAAGCTCCTCTTTACAATTCAAAACAAAAAATAAAAAGATAATAAAAATAATATTAGCACAAGCCCAGTAAGCACCTCATCAATTCACACTATATCATTTGTTCTCAAGTCTGACTCTTAACACCTTGCTCATTATAATTCATTTCCTGACAATCAATCTTTCTATAAATTGTCTGATTATATACACGTTTTTTTGTGATGATAAATGAGATTTTGTGACTATTGATTGATTTTTATTACAATGGTGATGGTATGTTGTTTAATCATCAAAAGCTGTGTATTTTTTCTTCAATGATTAACTGATCACATTCCAATCTCATTTGATTGGGTTGATTGTTATTGATTCATTTTTGATCTTAATATTATTGATTGAGCAAATGTACAATTTCAAAAAATCAGATAGATATCCCTCTCATAAGCCATGACACACATACAGAATAACCCATAACTCATGAATTGAAAGTTCAAATCCTCTTTCTTTTCATTCTCAGCTTCGCTTCGACCGATCGATGACTTCAATTCTTCCAACACTCTTCATTAATGACTGATTAAGTCTCTTGAATCTTCTATCTTGATGATAAATCTTGATAAAAATTCAATAACTCATTGATTCTTCTGACTCAACTCATAATACACTTTTCAAATCCACTTTACTCTGTTCGCTCGGCCTTTCTTTTTAATCACACCCGATCACTATATTGACTCGTATTATAAATGTGGAAAAGTCTTCGCCCCATTGGTAACAAGAGGATGGATCTCAAGCACTTCCTTTGATATAAGATGGCAAGAATGTATGCTGAAGATAACCTCAAGAAATGGAATCGGAATCGGACCAAACATTTGCCAATACGATAAAAGCTCCCCCTCCACAGCCTTCGGGGCTTGCAGTCGGTATGGGCGTTTGGTATGATGCTTATAGATATACATATTCTCTCAGTTCAACTGACATTCATTCCCAAAAGTTTTCTCGGCTAGTTGAAGA